AAGTGATTTAGTAATTATTACCAAATATTTGGTAATGAGGGCAAAGTGTTTTAGTAATTATTACCAAATAAATTATTACCAAATCACATTGTCCCCATTACCAAATATTTGGTAATAATTACCAAATCACATCGTTCCCATTACCAAATATTTGGTAATGGGAACCAAATCACTTCGTCCCAATTACCAAAACGCTTCTCCAGTGCAGTATTCAGCAAAATGGCGGCCACTGGATACTGCACTGTGTGAGACGAAATGGAAACGCAGCCATAGTTTGATAGCTTGATAGCGAAGGTTATTTTGACGGTTATTTAAAATAAAAAAATTTATCTAAATATATTTAGATTTCCTAATTACTAAATTACTATAATAAGTGCGCGCGCGCAGCGCGCGCCTGTATTGTTCTAGTAATGATATAAAATTGAGAAAGACAAACTTACAATGTCATAAAATTTCTGTTATATATGGATTCTTCAAATAAAATATAGGCTGACGTATATGTGACATATTTAATATGAATATATTTTATTATTAGATCAAGACCTCCCAGCGGAAATTTTGCAGAATGTTCGCCGTTGCATGTGCCACCCTCCGTACAATCCGGATCGCTCATCCTGCGATTACTATTTCCTTGGGCCGCTGAAAAGAGCTTTAAAGGGATTTTAAAAGATCGCCGTTTCACCTTCAATCGAGAGATCCACGATGCGGTGGAAAAATGGATCGGACAGCAACCAGCGAACTTCTTTGCGGCGGGTATACAAAAGCTTATAGACCTTTGAGACCGCTGCTTAAACAGCGATTACTTTTCAGTTCAGTAGTTATGTATTGAATGAATATATTTTATAAGCGTTTAAGTGATTTAATAATAAAATATATTCTGTCACATATACATCAGTCTATGTTTCTATATTTGTATCAGTCTCTATTTGAACGATCCATATATTAAATATAAAATTTGATTCACAATAAATTTATTGTTTTTTATTTACCAGATTGTTTTGTATTGATTAAGAGCCACTCATCTTCTTCTAATTCTCTTTGAAGCTCTGTTTTTGTCTCCCGAGAAAACATAAAGCGATAGATTCTAGGACTGTATTTCCTTTCATATTGCACAACCGCTGGACATGTTTCTAATTTGAAATCGGGATCGACATATCTCATCACTTGCTCATAATCATTATATCGTTCTACCATCACTTCAGAACAACGTGTTTCCGTTATCCAAGCATTGAATATACGTTTTATGTTTAGTTTGCGCACGTTCCCAGCTTTATTAAATGTAGTTTGCGCAATGTCCCAGAAGTCATTGACGATTGTCTTATTAGAACTTATAGTAAAATAAAAAAATTGTTTACAGCATACATCGTATGGCCATTTATTGGCTAGCATAAAATTATTATTTAATTGATTTGAACATTAATATGTTTTGTATAATGAGATATATGTATATATAAAAATATAAATGTAGTATATATTTCTTTTGAGATTTGAAAATTGTTCCTCTCCTTTTTGTCTAATATTTAGGATAAAGTAAACTTTTTCTGAACAAAATTATAGATAAAAATCATTATTTATCAAAATACCTGCTTTACCTATATTTACAATTATGTTCTTAGAATTAATCTTATAGTTATAAATATATTAATAAATTCAAAATGAGGAAGAAACAAAATTTTTTATATATTTATAATTCAAAACATTAGTTTTCGAAAAATTATTAACGCGTTAAGCCGCTCAAATTTCAGAAATCAACTATTTTAGCTCACATTAGTAAGAATAAAAGTTTAATTTTAAGAGTCAATCATATATTGTTTTTAATTTTACAGATAAAGGATAGCTCGATAAATTTTAAGCAGTTTATATCTGTGCTCTCTGACTACAATATAAATAGTGTCCTCCAATGTTTAATTTTGCTACGTAATAATTATATGAAAATATATTACTCACTCTACAAATATGTTGATAGCATCCCAGAACACTTCATCATTTATTAGGTAATAAAACATGCGCCACATAACGGATGCTGCAATAATTAAAATTGTAAAATATTTATTAAGTATTTTAGGATATATTTATATTTGCTTTTATAACTAAGTTTATATTGAAATAAATTGTATTTTAATCGGTTTGTAATTAAATTTTCCAATATTCTATTACAAAATAAAAAATTGACATACACTTATCAATATGTATTTTATTTTTATATTTACTTTAATTATAAATCATTTTTTAGTTACATTTACTTAAACTTACATTTGATATAATGGATAGATGATCTAAATGAATCAGCTGTAATGGTGTGTAAAGGTGGAAGAGGTTTCATATCAGGAAGAGTATCGAGACGTAAAGATTCCTGTTGTATTTGGACGACAAATAAATCAACTATGTCATTATACGTCCGACTCTGTAAAGCATGACATAATCGAATAAATCAAAAAGTGTATTTGCATTGGCAACAAGTATTTAGCGCTGTTAATAGCTGCTATTCACTTTTGGTCGTTTCTATCAGTTTTATCTATTCTAAAGTCTAAAGTATGGCAAAAATATAAAAGAACCTGATTCAAGACATGCGCCGTAAAATATGTAAGAAAACCTTCTTTTGACCACAGAGCCACATCGTTGAACCAGTGAGCTAATGTTTGATACGTTATTAAGTTTGCCACTTCAATTTTGCGGTTACTGTCATCTAACGCATCATTATAAATAATATTCACGTCTCTGAAAAGTACTTTCAAGTAATAGAAATACATCCAAAGTTTTTGCTATAATTATGCGATAAGTCTGTTTATTGTAGTTATAGTAGATACAAATTATTACAAAGTTACAAATAAACATGTAACTATATTTGGATAAAAATATATATTTAAGGATTGTTAAATCTAAATTTGATAACAACAAAAAATAACTTTATATTAAAATCTAGAGTTTTTATACATTTCCCTTAAACAATGTGTTTCCTTTTGTTTATGAAATAACAATGTAATAACTGTTCACTTACATATTTACATAAAGTTTCTTTAAAAAAGACAAGAGAAAAGAATTTCGAGCATTTTTGCATGAGTAATTTCACATATGAAAAAGTGCATAAAATTTAAAATGAGAATAATTTTGATAATATTTATCAATATTATGAATGCAATAATTAAAATTATATAGCACATGTTTTACTTGTACAATGTAAGATGCATGTTTTTTTTTGCCTAACTTTAGTATTGAAATTTGATTTACAATGTGATTTGATGTAAAGAATGATTATCTTAATTTTTGTTTAAAATAAAAGCAAGAATATTTTATCTGGACGTCATGCAAGTAATATGTTCAGTATGTTTTAGATGTTTTTTAATTAACATACTTAAAATATGCATATTTTTTACTTTCAAAATATTATGGATAAATTTATTTGATTAACTTGGTTTTACTTTTTATTCTTAATAACGAGTATTACCTTAATATAATGACTCCCCTAATATTTGCGAACTCTTTAGTCATTGTACTCTGAAAGTCGTTAATTACAAAGTAGTCCATTTTTTCCACTTTTCTTGTACTCCTTTCATTCAAGTAATGCACGATTTTTTGGGCAATAGTTTCTGCAAATAATATCTCGGACATCAACTCCTTTTTGCACCAAAATTTGATATTTTCAGTGGAAGTGGAGGTATGAGTGAGTGTGGTTATTATAAATCCTAAATTTTGAGCAGACATTAAAGATGATTTGTTATAGTGAGTCCACATCATGCCCTTTGCTGTGTCATTTATTATATCATTTACTCTGTCATTTACTGTGTCATCTACTATGTCTTCAACTCGATCTCGTATACGCACATTCGATATGTGTGTGTGGTCTTTATGATGCCGGAAAGAAATGCTAAAGGTTGATTTAAATCTATCGTCCGGCACGTCCCAACACGGAAATAGTCCTCCAGCTCTTATTGCGTTAAAGCTGTCGCTGTTTAATGTATTTTATTTTAAATATATTATTAATACAAAATTATAATCATAATTGGACTAAAATTTTATTATATTAACTTACAATTCAACTTTTTCGTCTATGTATAAGGATCCAAAAAAGTCTGTGTAATCTAATATGGTACCGACATATAGCATATTTAAGATATATATACCAGAAGCATATATTGCGTCGACAAGATTGATACGAATGTATTCTTTTTCGACGAACAAAAATTTCACAATATTGATTATCTGAGAATTATTGTTATTAATCAAGTTAATTGCATATATGGCGAAAGTCGCTGAGTTATTAATAGTTATCTCATTTGTTTGATCAATGAAGAGGGTGATATTGCATTCTCCAAAAAAGACACTTTTGTATAAGTTTAACTCTATTTTGACATCATAATGCAATGGTACTAAATCAAACTTTTTCTGTTTTATTCTATCGTCATTCATATCAATATCAGTTTTCGTAAATTTAACGATAGAAAAGGTTATTATCGCAATTAATAATAATCCGACATTTAATGAAATATATGCCATATTAATTACTGTTTAAAGTATCTGCAAAAAGTTTTTTGATTAGGAAACCAATATAATTAAGACCCACTATACTAATACACTTCTATATTACAAAAGAAAGCTAATATAACAATTATTGCACGTAATCAATCATACTAAAGCGATATAAAATGTTCATGAAAAATGCCCAAAAGAGAGTATCATTTTTGGTAGTATTGGAAAAGCAAAATTTTAAATACAAAAGGTAACATAAAATTATACGAGTAATATAATTTATCCAAAAATTCTTCTTAAATATAAAACAAAAAATATGAAGTATATAATATAATAAATATTAAGTATAAAATATATATAAAATTTATATAATACTAAAAATACAATAAGTAAAAAAAATGTTAATTTTTATTTTTATAGAAAATTACGTTCTTACAATATTGGAGATAATTAAATAATTTTTTACTGCAACTATATGTACACTAGGTCTCAAGAAACACAATCAATCTTTTCTATAAATTTTGCAAATATCGAAATAATTGATTTTCAATGTGTGACATGAATATAATTCAAAAATTTTACATTGAAACATTCGATAGATAATTGTTACGTTTATCTCAGCTGACGTTGTATAAATCGAAAATAAAGAAAATTAAAAAAATAGCTAAATATATTCATCAGCACTGATAAATATGTTTTTGAGAATATAAAACTGTATTTGTTGTGCTTTAGAAATTTTCCATATATTTTTAATGAAAAATAATTCACTTGTAATAACTCACCTTCATAGATAAAGATTATATCCATATGAAAACTTATAGTACTTTGTAACAATTAACAATTTGTAACAATAGTACAATTAACACCGTCTCGAATTGCGAATGCTAGAGATATATAAATTGAATCCGCTATCTAACTGTTTCGAGAAATCGTTGAACACTAAGAGAAATATTCGCAGTTAACATAATAAATACATTATGTGATGTAAATAATTTCTAAGAGGTTACGCGAGAGAACAACACTCTACTAAACAAGGGAGAATGACTGTTAATATCAAATCAAGTAAATTTCTGCATAGAAAGTAAATGTATGTTGTTTTTAACTATTGTTACAGGAAATGTGTGAAAAATTATAAAGTAAATAATTTTTAAAATTATGTATATATCAAAATAAAAAATTTTTTACACGAGTAGCAATGCAAAGCTGTTCGATATCGGAAATTAAGGGAACCTTGAAGTGTCTGCCGAACTCCAGCGCGAAAGTGTCGTCATTTAGATAAAGCTAAAAATGAGATTGATATTATCGACATAATATTATCATCCGAGATTTATATTACGGTATATACGTATTTCTTTTAATAATTCTTTGACATGTGATCACACACGTCTGAACATAGACCACATGTCAGTGTAATGAATTACCAATCAATGAAATATGTACAATTACCAATCAATGAAATACACGAATATTATGTCGATAATATCAATCTCTTTTTTAGTTTCATCTAAATGATAGTACTTTCGCGTTAGAGTTCGGCAGGTAATCCAGGATCCCCTTAAAATGAAATTTATTATCTTAACAATTCATCTTTAACAATAGTTGGTAACCTGAAATTATTGATCTACAAATAATAAAATTTTTGAAAGAAAAGAATATCAATAACAGAATATTTATATTAATTCAAAATATTGTATAATTATTTTATCAGAATATATAATTATTCTACATATATATATATTATTCTATACATATAATAAATTGTACACACAAAATGTAGCAAAAATTATGCGTAATATAAGATTTATATATTAAAAAAATTCAAAAATACAAGTCCAAGGATACAAATAAATTTCATTAATTTAATTATTTAATTTATTTATATTTTTGTATAATACAGTCCACACGTATATACGCATAAAATATATAGATAGGTAAAATACACTTAATTTCATTCCGATATATGTACATTTTATTAATATTTTATAAAATAAGATCTAATCCATAAAAAGTTATTAATATGAGAAGATATCGGTGAAATACACCATCATTTATCCTCTGACTTAATAACCTTCGTCTGACCATGTAATATGGTAGCCAGGATATTTTTTATTCAATAACTCTACCGAAACTCGATGATCAGCTTTGCCGAAACCCTGTGAACCAATAAAAAACAATTAATTTTTGTTTCACGTTACACTTTTCCAAAATTAATGTAAAAGATTGTAGTATTATTCAAATATTAATAGAATATAAAAGATTTTGTAACTCAGTTAAAATATTCACTAGTATGATAAAATATATGTCAGTGATTATAAGAATAGATCTCGCATTATTTTCAACTTTACTTTTCAATTTCACAATCACATGAAGGCATAGTTGTTGAGTAGACTACAACAATATACAAAAAAGTATAGAAAGTAAAAAATAAATAAAACAGAAGTGGAATTTTTTGAGTTTTTAATTAAAATTCTAGCGACGAACTAAACATGCATCATTTCGGAGAAAGCAAAATACAAATAACAGTAATAGAAATCTTCAGACAAACAAAAATAATTTTTGCGCGTAAATAATGATAAAAATTCACTGAATAATGAAAATGGCTATATTAGATTTGCATTTACAATAATTATAGACTCATATTTTTTTACGAGACTGAGTATTAAAGTATATAAATATATATGAAATAAATAATATAGCATATATATATAATTTATAAATATATACATATAAATCTTACTTTTATAAATAATAATATTATTATATCCTTATTATTTCTATAATTTTCGATCTCACACTTTCCGTCATCATTTATAACGGACGCGACAGAGTATGAAACGTGTAATCTACGCGATAATATACGATAATAATTTACTTTATCCGAATGGCAAAGTACGCGTTGGGAGTTTAAAACATCGTGTGATTTTCGTATTCATGTCGCGAACACGTGTGAGTGCCTTGAAGGACTGCAAAGAGAACTGAGAGGAGAAAGAGAAGGAGACTCAGGCAAAACATCGGGTGCCTGCAGAGCAACTTTAAGGGATAAATGACAAATAAAATTCGATATTTTCCATTCCATTCTTTCTAGTATAATACTTTTTTTCATTTAAGATACGATAAGTCTGGGACACTCTGTTTATTTGAGATTTAATTGTAAAGATAATTAATATTTTTTTAAAACAGAGTTATAAATAGCATGTTATAAGACAAAGGCTATGAAAAAATATAACACTTATAAAAGAACTTATAAAAGAATTCTTCTCCAAATAAAAGAATTAATAAATAAAAAAGAATAAAGATGATTCTGATGCTGCGTCTAATATACCGTAAAATTAAATGATATCGTGTGCAAACAAAAATTTATAAATTTTGCCACGTTGTTGTAGCGCGCCCGCAATAATTGACTTATATTACTGACGCGTATAGATATTATCGTAAATACGGTAATACGGCCCAATAAAATTCAATGGCGCTACGGAAGTCGCCCACGAACATTTCCGAGTTTACGTAAATGCAATTGCAATTTTACACTTGGAGGTCGATCGACCAGCTTCAAGGTTTATAACATTTATACGCTTCAAAAAATTCCGCGGCGAGTCGTAATAAATGAAAATTCTGCTGAATATATTCTATTGCTGAACGCGTAAGATACATGTTTCAATTAGTTGATTTAATAATTATTTTTAAAAAATTATTTTGGAGAATATGTTCTGAGCTTAAACTTAAAGAAACACTCATCGATTCTTTATTTCAAATTATTTCCTATTATTTCATTGTTATTGCTTTGCGTAATTTTTTATCAAAATGTAATAAGAAATTATTTAAAAATACATGCCAAGCATTCCCATTTTACATATACAACACGCTAATGAAACGTACATAACTTGCTATTCGATAATGATGAGCGTGAAATACAAATTTTCAGACAGACAATTTAATCTGCTAAAGTTTGACATATAATGTTGCGTGGGCGTGAAGTTTGCAACGGGAGCAACAGAGTATTAGATTAAAATATTTATATGTTATTAATCATACAAATTACATGCATATTCATCACGCACGTTTAAAGTACCATCTGACATTAAGTAATATCACGATCCATGCTGTCATTCGTGTCGAACAATTTTAGTCGTGTCTATAATCTTATTTATTTGGAATACGTAAAATATAAATCTGATAGTATATTATTTCTTTCGAAAATATTTTAAACGAATATTTTGCACACATTTTATTATAAATAATACTAATTAATAAAGAATAATGAATCAATGTAGAAATATTTATACAATGTTTACCGCATAATTCTTGAAAAAATAAAGAAACAATGTATGTAAATATAATGCAGCATTGTTATTTCTACGTGTCTATTTAATTTTTAAATCAATCAAATTAGTTAACGACACGTAAAAATTATTAAATGACAGACTCTCAATGTTTTAATTAATTCGGAGGCTTACTTGCGAGTATCCGTAAACTTTGATGGTTTTCCTGTCAAAGTTGTGCTCGATTCTTCCACCGCCCACACATTCCGCTTGCAGACCAGCGTATTTCTTGATTTGTCCGTCTACCTCATCGAATATATCAGCTGAAATATAAATAAAATATTATCTAACATTTACATATTTTGTAAAAATAGCAATATTGTAGGACTTTTACATTGCTTAATTAATTGACATAAAGTAGGTAAAAAATTCGGAAATAGCGAACAAAAATATTAAAAAGAAAAATTTTACATGCAAGAAAATGCGCGAAAGACAATTCGATAATTCTTATATAAGAATTCAATCGTCTTTATATCAATATTTCGTTGTTGATCTTTCTTATCGAAGAAAAGGAAGATATATCTTTTGATCACCGTTTTTTCCCTTCAAAGCTCGTCGCGTATATAAATAGTCGCGAGAACGGATTTCGAACACTAGTCACAACCATTCCGAGACTCTTTACGCGATCGATATTATCGCAAATTGCACGTTCCTTGGCAATCAGCGCACGAACCGACATTCCCTGGGTATATGATACAGATCCGTGATATAAATTCGCACACGTCTATGGGTATTAGAAGCCAATCAAGCGCTATTGTGCTCGCGTACGGTTCGCCCGAGGCGCGAAAAAGTTGAAAGGAAGGATTTAATATCAATTTGCGGTGATCGTGGACGCGTATGCATGCGTATCGAGATAGGCGCGAGCGTTTTGTGTGTATAAGCGCGCGCCACGTGCGAATGAGTCGTCCTTTGAAACGCGCGCTATAATGCCTTCTATGTCGCGTTAACGCGCTAAGCGCACTCGACGCCGCTCGGATTGAGGCAGACAGCAAAGGGTGGATTCGCGATGCGAATCGAAACAGAGCGCGAAATGCATCACGCAAAATGCGTGAAAAGCTTCCTCTGTGCACCAATGACCAGTAAAATCTCCATATCCATCGACATCCGCTGTTCAATTCTCTGTCCTATATACGATAAATATGTAGTTTCGCAGAAAAAAATAATTTTACATCTCTCTGGAATGTTTGTGTGTCCTTTTACAAAGCGTAAAAGTACATTATCAAAGAAAAGTCGATAATGAAACTAGCGACCGAGATCCGTGAAAAATAATGAAAGTGCGCGAAAGAGAACTTAAGGTTTGAACGTTGAAATTTCACAAAGTTAAGACTTCACACACAAGAAGTTGAGAATTACTCTCAAAGAACCAATATTCTTAAGAACTTTATTTCTTGCGCGAGCGACTTCGGACAAATTCAATATCATACTGTTGGATACAAGAGATGCAGGCCAACAAGATTACAATATGCGTTACTTCTCATTTCCTTCGTGTGCCGTAAATAATCTGCTCTCTTATTTGTTTACTTTAGTAATTCGAGCATCTTCGCATTTTCTCGTTATTGGAATAAATGTGTTTCGCAAGATACCTATTGAATTGATCACATTGCCTTCGGAGACAAATGGTATTCCGCGTACATAAGATATTCTACACAAAATCTATAAAAAGGTTTCTTATTTCCGCGAAAAGAATTCACGATAAAACGAGTTCTACTAGCTAAAGTAAGATCCGCAGTGAGTGAGAACAAAAAGTACACATTTCATATACTTAGCTTCTTTAACGTGGAATTTTTTTCCTACGACATAATAATCAGCAAGATAAAATGAACGACATTTTAATAAGCAACTTTCTGTTTGTTCATTACAATCGTGTTGACAAAGAGAGTACTGTAATTAAATGCATTCCTTTCATAATTATCAATTAATTGTCGTAATAATTTCATAATTTTTCTGACCATGTAATTATCAGGCAACTATATCAATTGAACCGTTTCAAATATTTACATAATATTTGTTTCTCGAATAAAAAAAAAACAATTTTACAGCAAAGTGTGGTTCTTCAAATATTCTTCATGAACAATAAGCGCGATAGTAGGAGTATAAAAACTATTATCAGTTAATATACATACAAAGAACGTTTCGAGCATAATTTCGGTCTTTTTACAGCTTGAAAGAATACAAAGAAGAAAGGAAAAGGTTCAAATTATAGAGAGAACATTAAAGAAAATATACAAAAATAATTAAACTCAAATAATTAATGGAATAAAAACTGGACTCACCGACCGCACATGTGGCATCGACCGCTACACATGTCAGAGTAAACTTCATGCGTACGGTGAGTCTACTCTTTGTTCCATTAATTACTTTAATTAATTCATTTTTATATATTTTTATATTTTTCCGTATAATTTAAACCTTTTCTTTTCCTCTTTGTATTTCCTCAGGCTGAACAAGTCCTGAAATCGAGACCGCAATGTTTTTTGGATATTACTCGAAAAAAATAATTCCCTGAAACCGTTGAATCGCAACCTCAAATCTTCTAGTGAATAATATCAAAATTATAAATATTTTTAATTATATTTAACAAAAATATAATTGCTACGTAATAAGATACAGATCAAAGAGCCGAGATTTTTATCTCGACTTTTTATAGATATTCAATACTAATTGCGATAAATAAAATTTTTTCGATTAAAAAATAAAACAGCATGTTAGAGCAACATACTTTTTCTATATATTTTTTTAATGAACTATAGACATTTATGAAATTACAAATTCTTTGCGGGTGGCGAAAAAAGCGAAGTGGCGAGAGTTGTGTATGTATAATATATCACGAAAAAAAAAGAAAGTTGTTAAGAAAAAAAAATTGGAGCAGGAAGTTTATTCTCTGTCCCGGTGCTCATGAGTCTTTAACCTTTAAGGAAAGTCATATATCTTCCCCTTCCAGGTCAACGTATTTCATTAAAAATATTCCGTGTTTCTCTCAGAAAATCGAGGATCAAGGACAAAAAGTGGAGGTAAAAGAGCGCACAGAATTTATCCGAAGGCGTACGTAAAGATAATGGGAAAGATGGTCGAAGGCTACATGCCATAATCAGTACAAATGGAAGAACATCTTTTATCATAACGTAGAAACTCTGTGAGAATAACGTTGTTTTTTACGATGATATCACAAAAATTGATTTCTGTGATACCAAAAATACACATTTGTCGATTGTTTCATCTAAAAAGACTTTCTAAGTAAACGTGTCATCAGTAATGAAGATATGATTTATCACCTATATGTAATGTTATTTATTATCCTTAATATTACGAGAACAATGATAATATTATAAATAAATAGAAAAAACTTTTTGTTACGTATAAGATAATCACATGTTATTATTTAATTCTTCGAAACATATTATGCATTAGAAACGGTAATCTATCTTATAGATATACACATATAAAAGATCGATCTTTGCAGACATAATAAATTAATTTGAGACATATAATAATACCGTATTAAATATTTATAAAAAATATTGTTTATTCAGCGTACGATAAATCACTTAAAATAAGAATTCAAATTTTCGTTTAACTGTGAAAAATTCGCGGCTTTGATAACAAAAAAAAAAATAATGTATCTTTTATTATATATATATTACATAGAAAATGCGGAACACACAACTTTGACAAGTAATAACTTGCAAAATTTATTTTAAATACGAAATTATATAAAGTGGATCTCGCGTAAATTACGAGCTTGTCAACTTTTGCTCTGAGAATTTTGCGTTTAAAAAAACTTCTCGTACAAAAGTATTTTAAAAGTAAAAGAAAATAATTTCAGTAGTTGAACGCAGTATAAATATACAGGTTTAACACGGTTAGTTAAACAAATTACACTATTCCCCAATGCCGAAATTATTCGGTGCTCGCTTTTATCAACTATTAGCAACTCATTGAGAATTTGCTGACGTCATGCAAACTGCACGCGACCTGTCAGAAGAGATGCGGCTGCAGGTTGACGAAAACGATCCTGCGGTAACCCCAATGTCAATACGACTTTATATTTCACGATAGGAGGCCAACGGGAAATCAATAGGAGCGGATTTTAAGTAAACACTCAACGCCGGGATGTTTTGGTAGATATGCGGTAATGGCGTGATATCAACTGGTTTTATGTTCCAAAAAACTTGCAAAGAAGGAGAAGCAATCAAACGACAAAACGAATATCCGAATTAATTCAGTTTAGCAAACTTTAGTTTTATGAAACTGTTTTCTTTGAAAATGTTATAAGTACAAAAAAAATAATATGCGTTACGTACAAAATGTATAATTTGTACGGTACATTAAAGATCCAACTACATGTTCAAATTTTTTAATAAAGCGTTCTTTTTTTTTTTTTTTTTTAATTTCGAATAACTCTAGTGGGTTAGTACTTCAATATTCTGTTTATCGACAACAATGGAATAAGCACGTTAGGAATTAATAAAAATCGATGACAAAGCATACCCCTCAGTGCGCACTAAAAGCACTGACCGGTAACGCACTAAGTGCAAAACATGGTATTATATTGAGTAAATACCATGTGGATGGTACAACACACAAAAGAAAAAGAGAGAGAGAGAGAGAAAGAGAGAAAAAAAAGAAAAATGGAAAGGGGGAAGCGTATAGATTTCCGGCACAGGAAAGCACGGAGTTAATCAGCTTGCGTGAGTTTCTATTGATAGAAAGTTCGCGCTACAGAGAGCGAGTTTACACCGATTATGGCTGCAGAAACAGCGCGTGGAGCGATTGACAGAAATATCTCGACGATGTGATGCATAAAATATGATAGCATATGAATATTTCAAGGCACTTTTTCAATCTCTCGAAAAGTACGTGAATAGGAAGCGGCCAAGTTGGAAAGCTCGGATTAACTTCTCTGTCTGCTTCTCTCTCTTTCTCTCTCTCTCTCTCTCTCTCTCTCTCTCTGTTTCTCTCTCCGTTTCTTTTTTTTCTGTCTTTACAATATCCAATTCTTGATAACTGTGATAATACGCTTTACATAAGCAAGATAAATACAAATAATTCATAGAATACGACGTCGAGAATATTTAAATATCTATTAGTACACGAAAAAATGCGTTTATCGAATAATCACATTTATTAAATTTGCAAAACAAAATTTGCAAAGTTTACAATTAATTTCGATAAAAATAATAATCTGGCCGTAAATAATTTAAAAATACTTTGTAAAAATATCAAAATTTGAGACAGTAAATAGAAAAAAAATTTTCATAACACA